GACAAGTCTTGAAGTAGGAGGATTTATAGACATTTAAAACTTAAATGGACTTCAATCCATAAGAAATTTGGATAATGTCTTAATTTCAAATCATGTTCAAATAAATATTTTGGGCTAATATAAATGAATTAATTATTCAAGTCCAATATATATGGATTTAATTAAAAAGTTCAATTTGGGCTTGTCCTTTTAGTTGTGCTACAAATGATAAATCCATGTTATTAGTCCAAGGTCAATTAGATGTCATCTTTTCTTAAAGGCTCAACTTGTGTCACGTGACAAGTGACATGGCGCGCCAAGTCAAAAAATGGAGCCAATGAGATCTGCAATGTGTGAAATGATGCGGCATGCCAAGTCAAATAAAAAGTATCATGCCAAGTGCACAAGTGATATGTTTTGACCCATCAAATGTGGTCTTATCATTGTTTTGATCTGATAGGTGATAGGTCAGTGGGTCAAGACTCAAGACAACAGAACAATAGGTATCCTGCAAAGATAAGGTGCCAAACTGAAGTATCGTGTCAAGTTCAGGGGGTTGTCAATGTATTTGGCCTAATTTTTTACACGGGGAAAGCAAATTAGTTAAGAACTGTTATTGCTGGGGACTATATTTCCTCCATTTAATAGGCGAAAGCTTGAGCCACTAAAGAGTTGAACAGTGCTACACCGAATGGACAGGAAAAGGTTGCTCTCTCCTCTGGAATTGAGGGCTGATAATCATTCTTTCCATATTCCATTATTTCTCCAGTGAAATGTACCAAAAAGTTGCTAACCTTGCTCTTCATAAGAGCTTCTCTTTCTCCCTGCTTTAAGACATTAAGAAATAAGTATTGATTCTCGAGATAAGAATAAGTGCCCTTTATGGTGGTAGAAGTTTTGTCATGAAAGATGCACTAAGAAAGCTCTAGGAACTTGAGCTTGGACAACATACGTGAATAAAGTTCAGAACCATATTTTGGTTATCCTTTTTTTCTTTATCTCCTAGATCAAATATTTTGTTGCATATAGGAAGCTGTACCTCTTAAGAAATAAGTATTGATTCTCAACTGTTGCTTAAATATTTTTAGAACTGTTAACCAAGAATTCCTGCATTGGGATCACCAAGGGTCTCATCTTCTGCTTTGCCTTTCCTCTTCTTCCTTTTCCCACTTTTCTTTATTTAAGCTCTCTTCTTTTTCTTTTTCTCCCTTTCGACATCCCTAACATCCTTTTTCTCTGTAGATCCTGCATCTTCCCTGCCTTCCCTTTTCTTTTTCTTGTTTCACCAAAACTAAATGAAAGGAACTAGGGTAGTTGCAGCTATCTGTGAAACTTAGGTGTTTTTACTTGCCAAGGATTCAGTAAGGAGCACAATGCAATGTGGGGAAAAAAAAAGTCAAAGCAGCTCCTTGGCACTTCACCATGTCTTCTTCTCTTTTATGTTCGCCCACCAATTTAACATATTTAATTATTCAAAGTGTCTTTTTTGTTTTCCAAGTGTTTCTCGTACATAGTACTTTTGCTTTTGCAGTTAATGTGACAAATTCTAGTTCTGGTTGTCACTGAATTGCCAAATCATCATTTATACCTATAGGCAGAGAAGGGACAATGATGAAAAGGATATCACAGATGCCTATTAACATGGCTTCTTTCTTGGTCTATGTGGCTCTTTTGTTTTCAAAGCACCACACTTGGAACAGTTTGTTCATCATTGTTGTTCAGGATATCTTCAAAGTTCCATCCTTTGTGTTTTTGCCTGAAAGCACTTAATGGGGACTGAGGCGTGGTTGATCGATTGTTTGATTGATTTTGCGGCTAAAAGCAAAACATCACCTTTTGAGAATCAAAAAAGAGGAAGAATGTTATATACTGATAAAAATGTTCCACATTGAGTGAGGGATGGGCTGTTGTCTCCTTATAGGCAATCCTCAGTTCATGATTTAGTAATTTGGGTTGAGTTGGACCAATGTCCATTTTCATGTAGTATTGCTTTGTTTTGGATGAACACATTATCAAATCTGATTGTTTTTGCTCTTAACTTCAGATCTTACATTGCTGCTCTTCTTCCTTTTCTTGTAGGATGAAGGGAACTAAAGCACCATCTTCAGATTGTTGCATCTACATGGCCGGACATTGTTTCTTGATTATGTATCTTTGCGATGTCTGATATCTGCAAGATAATCTGTAATAGAGAACATAAAATTTGATGTTTTCATTTGGTGGTACAAATTTGTAGTCTCGCAATCCAGTTGCAGTCAAGCACTCCCCTCCTCCCAAATCCACCAAAAGAAAAAATATTTCTGATCAATTGAAAGGGTGTTCCCTCAAGTTTATGATGTTTTCTAAAGATTTTAACATGTTTCTGAACTCGTAGTCACATTATTTGAATTGCAGAGAGCAAAATGTCGCCTCTAGTTATTTATTTATGGACAAATTACTGTATATTTTGCTTTCTGAGTACATCTGGAAATGGAATAATGGATTGAATTAACAAAGGATAATTTATCTCGCATAGGAAAGTCAAAACGTTGTTGGTTTATATATCATAGTAGTGCTTCGCCATCTTTTGGACAATATTAGTTCTATTTCTGAAGAAATTACATGGATCGAGGGAAACCTATGTAAATATATTGGTTTCAAATCTTGTGGAGTTTGGATTTGATTTTGGTTCTGCGTTTATGGGGGAAATATTCTTGTTTGTTCTTGTTTTTTGGAAAATGACGTGCATTATTCCATTTGGTTTTGGAAACAAAAACTGTAAGCCAAGTACTTGATTTAATATTTTAAAGATTCTTCTCAGGAAAAAAAAGAAAGGCAAATGCAATTTCCAGCCCCATTTCTGGTTTTAGTTTAAAACAAATAGGAGTGTGCAGGCAATCTAATCAAGTGAGCTCTTAGTTATAAATCGACCGTAACAAATATTATTAGATTTAAAATATTTGATTTCCCAATCTAAATCGATTGCCGGTGGAAGAATTATGATATTTTTTGGTATTATGCATATAAGCGTGTCTTTAACCAAAATTATTATTATTATTATTATTATTATTATTATTATTATTATTATTATTATTATTATTATTATTATTATTATTATGGTTGTTGTTGTTGTTCGTTTTTTTTACCCTTTTCAAATAAAGTTCACACTAGACAAAACAGTTATTTAAGTATTTCCTTAATATTTAGTGCTTTGAAGTTAACGAAAACTTTAGTTATTAAACTTTAGTTATTAAAGTTTTCCTTATTTGAATGACTACACATGAAATCCTAATATTTAGGATATCAAAATCAATTAAGTTTACCTTGATTCAAATAATTCCTTTATAAATTTGTTTTCCTTATGATCTACGTACATAGAAATTAGCAATGTATTTTTAATAAAGCATTTTAAAACTCCATTCAATTTAGAATACTTTTCTACAAATAAATTATTTAAACTATTATATACATCAATTAATATAATTATTTATTTGAAAATATTCTTATGTGATTAAGTTCGTGTTTTTACTACCTATAACAATAACCCCATTCTAACTATTTTAAAATCATGAGTACTATGAAAAATATAAAAAACCAAGTTTAAAATAATACGGGTCAACTATATGAAAAAATAATAAATAACATCAATATAGAGCTCACTCAAGTTATAACTTAATTATTTATATAATATTTAAAAAATGTAAATCAACTAAACTTTAGTTATTGAATAACTCTTATGTATGAAATCCTAATACTTAAAATTTTAATCAATTATTATTTTACCTAAAATAATTATTTATTTATTTGAAGTGTGTACCATAACTATAATATCTTTTACGTTAATTTTTTTTTAAATATTTAAAAGTTTGAAATCAACTAAAAATTTATTTATTATACTTTTGTATAATATTCGAAACTACACTTAATAATTATTTCGACTTGCAAAAATCATCTATTCCAAAATGTGTAGAATTTAGTCAATAATTATAAAACAACATACATAAAATAATTATTTATTATGTTAGTGTATGCTTGAAACAATAAGGAAAAAGAAGTAGAAGATAAAATATATTTTAAATGAGTTATTGTTAATTATTTTTCTTTCTTTTTGCAAAATTCTATCAAATTACAGCTCCATGTATTTTTTTTATATATTAATTTATTATTATAAATTATTGACTCAACATTAGTCACTTTTAAAGTTTATATTTCCACTTTTTTTCCCAACCTTATCGTGATGTATTAAGGCATAAATATAACAATAATTTTTATAAAGTATTCTTAACAATCTCTGAGTACTTCTATTTGGCTAGATTTGGAATCTCTCTCTCTATATATATATTGTGTTTTTAGTATAACTCAAAGACATTATTTAATACTACTTATGTTATTTCTTTAAAGTTATTTACTTATTGACTAGTATTATTTAAAAAGAAAATGGTCATATCATCATTGATGAATGCATCCTCAAAGGATGAGATACATGCAGGAAGGCTAGCAAATGGGTGGTCCACAAGGGTAACATGGTGAGCTTCATGAATGATGCTTGTATTTAGGGGTGGCAAATGGGTGGGTTGGGCTGAATTTGGGTGGGTCAAGATGAGTTAGGTCAATAAATGGGTCATTGCCCAACCCAGCCCAAAGTGTATTTGGGTTAAGATGGGTTGGGTCAAGATGGGCTAAACAATAGGTCATAACCCAACCCGCCCAACTTGACCCATGTTTTAGAACCATGCTCATCTTGAATAAAAAAAACCTTTTACCTTAAAATATGTGAGTTGACAAATATTTTATGGGTGGGGGAGGAGGGGGTTGGGTGAGTGGATGGTGCAGAAANGGGGGTAAGGTGGGTGAGTGGTGTAGAAAAACAAAAAAACAGAAAATAAAAAATACAAAAAATAAATAAATTGGAGCAACTAAGTAAATTTCTAGATAAGTTGGGTTGAGATCCTTTGTTTTGGTGAATTTCATGGGTTGTATTTGGGCTGTTAAATGGGTCAGAATGAGCTATAAAAAATAATGGGTTAACTTGGGCTCAACCCAAATTGACCCATGAGCTAAAATGTTTGTAGCCCAACCATAATCTTTGGGTTAGTTGGCGGGTTAGATGGGTTTGGGCTCAAATTGTCACCCCTACTTGGATCCCTAACCAGCCAACCATTAGATATATGATTGCAGGACCCCTTACCCCAAATGACATAGCCATCAAAGTAGACTCTGTCTACAATTCAAGGACCTCAGACCTCTCTTCCATCTATATGGAAATGTCTGCAAGTATCTCTAACATGATTAATTCTGTTTTCATCTCTCACAACACTACCAAAGGAGGACAGGCTAATTTGGGGATTGACTCCAAGTGGGTTTTTTACCAACATTTTAACCTACACATTCCTTGGCAAAAGTGTATCCGGTCAAAATCGGGCTTGCCTAATTTTATATGACTGACCGAAATCGGGATGGTAGATCAAGGCTCGGCCTCGGTTAAATCAGAACATGGTACATATATGGATTGGTAATCTTGTGGATCAATGACCGATCAAGATCAAGATCAAAACAGGAAAGAGATTGAACGAGATCGAAGGAAGCCTGCCAGGTCGTATAACAGAAAGCCAAGATATCTACGATCGGGTAAGGATCGTGGCGGAAATCTCAGCACGTATCAAGTCAGGACCGGCTATTTAGCCCATCAGGGGATTTACTCCCGTAATTAGAATTATATCATAAATAGGATTCCTCTACTATATAAAGAGGGCCCTAATCATCTTGTAAGCATCTCACATTCACGCATATCAAAGCAATACAATACGTTCTCTCTAGCTTATATTCTTGTTCATCAGTTAGTTTGTTTCTTAACTATTTTGGGCACCGATCAATTTGAGGGCACTCAAGCTCGAGGGCTGAATCACGTTTCAAAACTGGTTTGCTTCATCTCATTGTTAATCTATACTATTAATCTTTACGTTTATTAATTGGTATTAAGTGAAATCACGTATCTTTAAAACCACATTATAAGTTTAATTGTTATCTTATTTTTAGAGTAAACAGTTTGGCGCCTACCGCAGGACTGAGGATAATAATGATTGCCTAGTGCTAATCCTCATAACACACACTGCTTTTACGCTTGTTCTCGTAAGTGTCTTTGATTTCAGGAACCAACATGTCAAACTCTCAAGCAGTTCCCACTCACACAGACACCAACCTTGGTCTTCATGGAGAAAATTATGATGTAGCCGCCCCAAGGATTGAAGTGCCCCAGGCAGGCCACGAGGGAGTACCAATCGCAGACCCCATCGATGTTAGTTCACATGTCGCCCTAAATGCAAATCTGGGCATTGATCCTGAAGGTAGCGTACGCAGGGAAGTTTGATCAGGTGGTCGAGGTACGCAGGGCGGAGAAGACAGTAGAGTTAGCCTCCAATCAATATTTTAAATGCTACGGGCTCAACAAGCCGCTATAGCGCAACTATAGAATCAACATCGAGCACCAAGTGGGATCGAACCAGAAACTATTTGCAGGGCCGAATCAATACCGGAGAGATTGAACGCTAATGATTTGGGGACTGACCCTGCTATTATGAAAATGCTCGAGGAGCTCACTAAACAGATTGAATCAGGAGAAAAGAAAATTGAGGCAAATGATAAAAATGTAGAAACATACAACTCCCCGGTTGACCAAATACCAGGGCCACTACCGATATTGGGAGGACTAGATTCTAAAATGTTAGTGCAAAGATCCTTCCCCTCTAGTGCGGCTCCGAAGCCAATCCCCAAGAAGTTTCATATGCCCTAGATTCCCAAGTATAACGGGACGACCGATCCGAATGAACACGTCACCTCGTATACGTGCGCCATCAAAGGAAACGACTTGGAAGATGACGAAATTGAATACGTACTGCTGAAGAAGTTTAGGGAGACTTTATTGAAGGGTGCCTTAATATGGTATCATAACTTACCCCCTAATTCTATTGATTCGTTTGCTATGCTTGCAAATTCTTTTGTAAAGGCACACGCCGGAGCCATTAAAATTGCAATGAGGAAGTCGGGCCTTTTCAAGGTAAGGCAGAAAAATAACGAGATGCTCAGGGAATTCGTATCTCGGTTCCAAGCGGAGAGAATGGACTGTCCTCCGGTCACCGATGACTGGGTTGTTCAAGATTTCACTTAAGGTCTCAACACTCGGAATTCCATAGCTTCACAGCAGTTAAAGCAAAGTTTAATCGAGTACCCGGCTATCGCTTGGGCCGACGTACATAATCGATATCAGTCGAAGATCATGGTCGAGGATGATCAACTGTGGAATCCTTTGGGGTCCGTTTATCCTAGCAGACCCATGGATAGGATAAAAGGGGACATCGATCGAGAGCCGAGGTCGAATAGAGATCAATATCAACCGTACAACGGAGACCGTAGAGGCAGCAGGTCTGTGCGAAGCTTCACACGAAATGAG